CTCCCTCGCGCCTCAGGAATGAAAGAAAATGTTTTTCTCCCTGAGTCTGGCCTTCATAATTCCATTCCATCACATGGAGGCTGCATTCACACAATCTGTGTGTAATAACTGGATGAATTTCAGAGCTAGTGCTGCATTTGCATAATATGCTAAGCTTGGTTATTTTTATCCTTGGGGTTTTTTTGTGTGTGTGTTGTGTAAATGCAGCCTGTTTGGTTAGTTTATGAAGCAATTTAACATACAAGCCCAGAAAACAAGAATTCAGTCACCAGGTTGTATGTGCTGCATGAATTCAAACAGAAGATGAAGGATCCACCATAGTGATAACAAGTCTGGCAATTCCCATTTCTCAGTTTCTCCAATTTTAAGTTCATTTTAGCCTGTTCAAAATGTTTTTTCAAAAAATGTTGGCATTAGGATTCATATGCATGTTGGTGCATATTTTTATTTGCCAATTTGCCCAATATACAAGGTTTCCACAAGCAATTTTTCTAATAGAAAACATCTTTCTATCTTCCTCTGTATCTTCACCAATATTGACCATAGACTTTTCCACACTATATTGCTAAAAATGTGGAATACTGCACTATCAAATTTGGAAAAGTGCAGTTTTTGAAAGATAAAGCCTTTGTATAAAGGTTCAAAAATGTGAAATGAGATCCATGCATGAATTTTGTTCTCCCCTGAGCTACCCTCCTCTTCTTTGCTGCAAGAAGCTAGTGCTCTGGTTGGTTAACAGAGCAAATGGCCATAAGGTTTTCCTACACCAGCTCCATTTGAACGAACAAACATTGTGCAGATTTTACCAAAGGCAACTTGTCACATTTGGTAAACCAGATCTGTGGCTTTATGACATCCAAGCTCTAGCCCAGGATTAGGGCATCGCTTTGTCGAGGAGAAAAACTTTTTGCAAAGTAGCCGATTTCTTTCCGGCTTCTGTCTCCAGCACAGAGGCCTTCAGTCCGGAAAGAGGTGGCAGAGAAGGGGCTACCAAGCTGATGATTGTGCTCACTGATGGAGAGTCCCACGATGGTGAAGAACTTAAAGATGCTCTGGAAGAGTGTGAGGAACGGAATGTGACACGTTACGCCATTGCAGTAAGTGTGTCAGCATGTGGAGGTACAGAGGTATTGCTACTTGTGTGTATACCTGTTCATGAGCAAGGTGAAGAGAGTTCCAATTTATTTCAGGCAACAATTTGAGCACATCCTCTTTTTGTTAGCATAACTTTAACATCAAGTATCCTGGCTTCTGAAGAATGTACCACGTAGAAAGTGTCTGTGCTTAGTTTGCATTTGAAAGAAAAGAGAAAAGCCATCCTTCCAGTTGTGTGGATGTTTACATCCCAGCCAGCCTGGATGCTGCTGAGAATTCCAGGAGTTGAAGGCCCTCCAGGTTGGGAGAAGGAGCTTTAAATGCTGTCCTGGCTTGCACATTCTTGGAAAAGGTCATCCTCTCTGGGGGGCTCTGTTGTGATATGTGCAGCACTTAAAATTTCCTCTGAACTGCACCTGACTTCTCGAGGCTGCTTGGGTCCAGCCATGTAGTGTGGTTGGCACCTTCCACGTGGCTGCCGTCCTCTCCTTCTTGGAGGGCTCCTTTTGTGATTTCCCAGTCCCGGGTTTCCTGGTGGCCTTCCATCTCAGGCACTTCTTAGCTGTTTGAAATCAGCCAAGGTCAGCTCTGTCCCACCACCCTGCTGGGCTTATAACTTAGTAATCGTACTCCCCCCGCTTCAGTGAATCAAGATGAATTGTTCATCCATTCCCCTTGTTGGCCTATCTGGGATGAATCCTTGGCTGATCCTGGGAGCGACTTGGAGCTTGGGAAATGCAGTGGTTGCAGTCTTTGGAGAGAAATCATAGTAACTATGGCTTGTTTCTCCTTCGTGCTCTATCTCAGCCTGGTCCATATGCCTCACTTTTCAAGTGTCTTGGGCAGCCTCAGATTTGGGGCATCCCATGAAATTATGCTTCTGTTTCCCCCAGGTCTTGGGCCACTACATCCGCCGGCAGAAAGACCCCAACTCATTCATCAATGAAATTAAATACATTGCCAGTGACCCCGACGAAAAGTACTTTTTCAATGTGACAGACGAGGCAGCCCTCAACGATATTGTGGACTCTTTGGGGGATCGGATCTTCAGCCTCGAAGGTGCTGGGGAAAGGATGTAGCATTTGCAACCTGGGGGGAATGGAGTCAGGGTAGCTAAGCATTGCTGTGGTATATGAAAGTTCAGCACAGCTACACGCAGCAAGCATTCAGAGTTCTATTACCATTTCCTGACTGACCTTCATACAGGCCACGGGGCTGCTCCAGACAGAAGGTACCCCCATGTGGGTCCAGAGGGAGAAAAGCATCCTTTATCAGGACCTTTGCTCTGCTCCCTCCTGACCTATCTGGTAGTGGTGGGGCATCTCTAGTTGGCGCTGGGCTGCCCTCCTTTTCATTCCCACTACAACCTGAAGATGTGCTGCGTGAATGGCATTGTGGGAAAAGAAATGGCAGCTGTCTAGTGCCAGATGTTGGGAAGGAAATTACAAGAGAGGAAGGCAGAGCAGGCACCAGCGGAATTGGGTAAATTCAGAAACCAGGTTGTAGTGTCTTATGTGAACACAGCCAGAATGTGGTGATCCTGGACCGGGTGGGAAATGGAGAAACAAAAGTTAAGATGGCTAAATTCCCCTCTGGTGGAAATTTAATGTCATGCAGAAAAACTTTCCTGCATTTTCTCCAGCAGTTCACCTTGACAAAAGAGAATTTGCTTTGGAAATTTCTGTCAGGAGAGATTTTGGAGAAATTCTCCTGGGTGAAGTGTTCTTGTAATTTCCCAATGAGATGCCCAAGACCATGTGTGTGAGAGAGTGTCTGTATTCTTTGCACAACCCTCTATCCAGAGTTCTGCAACCTCCCTGGCTTCTTCCACCAACCCTGCAGGATTGAATTGGCCCGGCGGATGTTATGGAAGACAGGCAGTCCCTCAAGTAACCAGGCCCTATGCCATGTAGGCCTCTATAGGTAACGACCAGCACCTTGAATCACACCCAGAAGCAAAACGGCAACCAGTGCAGCTTGTGAAGCAGAGGATACCTCAGTTACTGCTTGCACTGCCGCATTCTGGACCAGTTGAAGCTTCCAGGTGGTCTTCAAGGGCAGCCCCAGGTAGAGCACATTGCAGTAGTCAAGCTGCAGGTGACTAGGGCATGAGTGACTGTCTGAAATCCCCCCCCCCCCCCATCTAGGAAAGGGCACCACTGGTGGCACCAGATGGACTTGTGCAAAGGCTTTCCTGGCCACAGTGACATTGCTCTTCAAGCAGGAGCTGCGAGTCCAGGAAGACCCCCAGATGGTGTATCAACCTTGAAGGGGGAAGTTCTACCTCATCCAAGGTCAAAGAATGTGTGGTTTCAGCAGGCATGGCTTGGGCACGCACATCTGACATGAGAATAACAAATTTCTTCTTTTTTAAAGAAAAATTATTTATCACCCTTTTCTAGTTAAACATGCCTCCAATAGTGTATTGCCACTTCCACCCTCCTTTCTTAACAGGGAGCCGTGAGTATAACTCGTTTGAGTTGGAAATGTCTCAGATTGGCTTCTCCACCCATCTCCTGGAGGTAAGAGAAGAATCGGGCTTCTCTATTTTCCAAATGTGCCACTTGGAAAAAGCAGGATGAAGATGGGGAAAGGGCAGGCGGATCCCTGCATTTCCCCATTTCACACGACCAAGCAGTGGACAAGAGGGGCCCTATAAAAAGTGCAGCCCTCCCCTCTGAAGAATGCTTGCCATGCCTCCAGATAATCCACCTCACAGGGTTGATGTAGGGATAAAATGGGGGGAAGGGTATCTACAGATGTTCTTAGAAAATAATTGTGGGAAAGATGGGACGTAGCCTGTAGCCAGTCTTTTTGCAGAGGTAACGATGGAAAAATCCAGAGGAACTTTTGTCTCAGAACAGAAATTTCCTGTCTGCAAAGAAAATTGAATAAAGCTCTCTTTTGGAAGTTCCGTAAGCCAGGTAGCCTTTGGGTTTCATGTGGCTCTGCGAATGTTGAGTGTCTGGATGGCTGTAGCTGTTTCTCTCCGGCAGGACGGGATCCTCTTTGGCATGGTTGGAGCCTATGACTGGGACGGGTCCGTGCTCAAGGAGGGCCGGCTGGGATGGGCCACTCCCCCACGGGGAGCGTTGGAAAAAGAGTTCCCACGAAAGCTGAAGAACCACGCTGCCTATCTGGGTAAGGGGGGCAGCGGAATACCGGCCCCAAGGAAGTAGTGCCAAAGGCTTGATCTAAGCTAGCATCCTGTTTCCAAAGGTGGTTAGCACACTGCCTCTGAGAAGCTACAGGAAACAATGGAAGAACGCTCTTTTGCCATTTGCCCAGAGGTGGTAGACTGCCCTGGCACCCGGCAGCTTCATTTCTCTATCGTAGCTCATAGACCTCAACTCCTCTGGCAATGTCTCCATTCCATTTTAAAGCCATCCAAGCTAGTCACCACTCCTCCCATCCAAAAGGTAATAAAATAATCCTAGGGCTGATTCTTTCCTAACTGTTCTTCAGCAGATATTGCTGAGGGGTTTTCTAAAAAAAGAAATGCATAGATTTTTTCATGGTCATTTGTAACCAAGAAAAATACTCTGACTCTAAATTATGGTTCTCATTTGTGAAAAAAATGTGTAAACATCAACTTGTGAAACCGTCCCTAAAATCTGTCTCTCAAAGAAAGGAATCATTATTATACCTGAAATCAGTAAGGCTCATAAAGATAATCCTTCCAAGTTGGTCCCCTCAAGTTTTGTTGGGCTACAATTTCCATCTTCCCCTAGTACTTCTTAACCTCTTTTTCCTTGTGAGCAGTCTCCTATTTTACTGGAAGCTTTAAGAAAGTGCTGTGAAAAACATTTTCAATTGGAACCAGTTTGAGTGCACTTTGACTTTGAAATAATTGTTTCAAGCATGGAACAGCTGTTTTGAATTTAAAATGGACTTTTTCAATCATTTTGGAAGAGCCTTTCACTTAAAACATGGTGTTTTAAATTCCAGACAGTTCAAAATGTTTAAGGACTTGTGCAAAGCTAGCCACCGAGTCCAGGGCAGAGCAGAGCCAAGGTTTTCTGAATTCTGTCTTTTCCCTCTCCCTTTCTCAGGCTATGCTGTCTCTTCAGTCAGACTCAGGAGTGGCAGAAGGCTCTACCTGGCCAGTGCCCCCCGGTTCCAGCACAAGGGGAAAGTTATCCTCTTTGAGATGAACGGTGATGGCAGCGTAGCCATCTCTCAGGCCCTTACAGGAGACCAAGTAAGGCACTCAAGGGAAATGGCTGGACCAAAATGCAAAAGCCACTTGTTTAGAGCGTGAACAAAGTGGGACCCATCTCACCTTATAGCAGAAGCAGGAAGGGCTAGAAAAGCCGTGTGTGTGCGTGTGTGTGTCTGTGTGGTTTTCTGTCTGTTGATATACATAAGTTGAAATATTGTCCCTCTGCCGCTCCTGCTTAATCAATGTAGATTAAATAAAGGAAGCAATTCTTTTCTGCCAGCCAGAGAATTGTGTGTCCTGTCTCATCATCCCCTTAATTTCAGATTTCCACTTACCAAAGAGCTCGCGTCATCAAATTCAGAATCTCATTTTTAAAGAGCAGATAGAACACTTCCCAGCTTGTTTTATGCTTGTCTTCTCTTACAAATGTCCTTCAAGTAAAAGTGATTCTATCATAATTTTAAAGCATATTGTACTTTTTTAAAAAAAGAACCTTATTAAATTTCAGTATAAGATAAAAAGACAGGAATAAAAAAGAAAATAGGAAAGGAAAAAAATATACAGAAGAAAAAAGGATAAAGTAACTTCCGACTTTCTTTGGTACAGGTGTAAATATAAAATGCATTCATCTCTTACTGTAATATGTAAAAGACTATAATATCAACAAATAATATAAAACAGATTAATACAAAGAATCTCTCTAATTATAAAATAAATCAGTCATCAAACCCCAAAATCAGTATTTCTTTTTTTTTTTGAGTCTCAAGTAAAAAGTCCAAGAGTGGTTTCCAAGTAGAAACAAAGTTAGACAATGTCTTTTCTTTGATCAAAAAGGTCAATTTCACCATCTCTGCCAGTTCCATTAGTTTCAATATCAATTCTTCTGCTGTAGTATTTGTAAATCTTTCCATTTTTGTGCATATAGAAGTCTCGCTGCTGTTATCATGTAAAGAAATAAATTCCCATGTTTTCTTTCCATCTGTTTATCCATCATACTAAGAAGAAAAATCTCTGGTTTCAATTGTATATCCATTTTTAAAGTGTTTTGAATCAGAATATATATCATACTCCAGTATTTCTTGGCTTTCTCACCGGTCCATCAGAGATGATAAAAAGTACCTTCACACTGATTACACTCCCAACATACATATGAAATTCCTTTATATGTCTTAGCTAATTTATCCAGTGTCAAATACCAATGGTACATTATTTTATAGAAGTTTTATTTTAAGTTATAGTTAAGAGTGAACTTCAAGCCTTTATTCCACATATTTTCCCATTGTTCCAACATTACATTATATCCAAAAATTTTTGCCCACTTAAACATACAATCCTTAACATATTCATCTTCCATGTTTATCCTCAACAAAAGTTTGTACATCTTAGCAATAACGTGTTCATCATTAGTACATAAAGCATATTCAAAGTCAGTTTTCTCACAAGTAAATTTGTAACTTTTATCCATTTTAAATCTTTTGGTCAATTGTGCGTTGGTAAACCATTGACAGGTATAACCTTCCAATTCTAATTCTTCCCTCTTCTTCAGTTTAGGTACTCCTTCAGAAAACAATAATAAATTTGCATATATCTACCATGCTTGTTTAAATGTCTTACTTTATATCTCTTCCAAGCTCTCAGTATGGCACGTCTAATACTGAGACATAGAATATTCAAGAATAAAATGATTCTTGAAATCAATATTAACTTTCACTGTCATTCCATAGATATCCATGCCATCCAAATCTTAAATGATGTCCTTCTAACTCCAATAACCTTGTTTTTTAGAGTCACCCACTCTTTCATTCATACCAGACAACAAGCATCAAAATATAACTTTAAATCTGGAAGACCTACCTCTTTCTTTAGCATCCTGTAAAAGTTTATGTTTTATTCTTGGTTTTTTATCTTGCCATATAAATTTTTAAAATCTTTTTGCCATTGTTTAAATGGTACAGCAATTGTCAATATCAGTATTGTTGGGAAAAGAAATAACATTCTAGTTAAAATATTCAACTTAATTACTGAAATTCTACCTAACAATGATAATTGTAACTTTTCCCATCTCAATAGGTCTTTTTTGATATCATTCCAAGCTTTAACATAATTATTTTGATATAATATATAATTCGTATTAGTCAATATAATACCCAAGTATTTAAGCTTTTTTCAATTTTAAAACCAGACTTTTTCATCAACATTTCTTGATCATGTATAGTCATATTTTTAACCAACATCTTTTTTTTGTTTATTTACCTTAAGTCCAGCTAGTATACCGAAGTCTTTCAGTTTCTCCGTTAAGCATTCTATTCCATTCTGAGGTTCCCATAAAATCAAAACTAAATCATCCGCAAAAGCTGCCAATTTATAAACCTCTTTTTTGATTTGCAAACCCTTTATATTCTCCTCCTGCCTAGTATCTCTGTTTAACACTTCCAGAACTAAAATAAAAAGCAAAGGGGACAAAGGACATCCCTATCTTGTCCTCTTCTGTATCTTACAAGGTTTAGTTAACAATAATACTTGCCTTCTGAGAAGTGTATATTGATTTAATCCCTTGAAGAAAATTCTCACCAAAATCCATGTTTTCCAAGACTTTAAACAAAAATGTCGAATTCAAGTTGTCAAAGGCTTTCTCCGCATCCAGGAAGATCAATGCTGCTTGCTTCTCATTATGTTGTCAGTATTCTACTATATCCAGTTCTGTTCTCACATTGTCTCCCAGTTGTCTCTTAGGTAAAAAGCCACCCTGGTCTTCATGTATAAAGTTCTGTAGAATCTTCTTCAATCTATGTGCTAGTATTGATGTAAAGAGTTTGTAATCATTATCTAACAAAGAAATCAGTCTGTAATTCTTAGTTATACTTGGGTTGCCTTCTTTTTAATTCTTTTATTCTTAGTTATAGTACAGTTGCCTTCTTTTGGTAATAATGCTGTATTAGTTTCTTTCCATGTCTGTGGCATTGCGAAGCCCCCTAAAATAGAGTTCATCACCTGTTTAAGTGGTAATAGCAGTTGATCTTCAAAACATTTATAGTAAGAACTCATTAGTCCATCTGGTCCAGGAACTTTCCCTGTTTTAGCCTTTTTAATAGCTTCTGATATTTCAAAGGTAGTCACAGGACTATTCATAATTTGTTTCTAAGACTGTGAGAGTTTCAGTAAATTCTGTTTCTTTAAGTATTGATCTGTCTACTCCAATGGAACATCTTGTCTTTTATACAAATTGTAAAAAGATTTCTGAATATTTGCATTGTCTGTAAGTACAACATCTCCTTCTTGAATCTTTATTATCATTTTTTTCTCTCTCTCCTTTCTCAATTTATATGCCAACTATCTCCCTGGCTTATTTGCAAATTCAAAATGTTTCTGTTTTGTATGTTTTAATTTCGTCTCTATTTCTTTAACAGTTAACATAGATAATTGCTGTTGCAGAAGTTTGATTTGATGCACAATAGTAGAATCTGTTGGTGTTTTGTAGATCTTTTTTTAATTTCATCTAAGATAGCTTGAGTTTTTTCTTGAGTCTTCCTTTTTAAATCATATTGGGTAAAGTAGCCTCTCATCACTGCTTTACTAGCATCCCAAACAGTTTTTAAATCTGTACGTTTATCCAGATTGTTATCAAAATATTCATTTAACTTCTTTTTGCAATCATTCACCACCAATTCTTTTTGTAGTAGAGTTTCATTTAATCTCCATCTAAATGTTGTGAGGGGTTTTTTTGAGTATCAATTTAACTGGATTATGATCAGAGAAACTTTTTGGTAAAATATCTACTTTACTAATCTTATTTGGCAGAGTCTTTGAGATCCATATCATATCAATTCTAGAAAAGGATTTATGTCTTTCTGACAAAAAAAATTCCCTAGAGTTTCCATTTTTCTGTCTCCAAGAATCTATCAAATTCAAGATTTCAATCAGATCAAAAAAGACTTGGGCAATTTCCCTTGGTTAAGTTTAATTCCCTTACCTGAAGTTTTATCCATTTGAGGTGAAGTCGCTCCATTCCAATCTCCCATCAAACACCAATTTTCATATGAAAAAAACATCAATTGATCCATAAGGTACTTGAAAAATTTTCCTTTATCCTCATTTGGAACACAGTCCAACAATTATGGATTTAGTTCCTTGCATCTCAATTTCTACTGCAACATATCTACCCTATTCATCAGATAATAAAAGTGTGGTTTCAAAAACGATTTAATATATAAAACAACTCCATTAGTCTTTTTTACATTTGCGGATATAAATTCTTCACCCAAAGATTTATAGATCAGATCTTTTTCATCGTTTTTTTGATACATGTTTCCTGTAAACAAATTATGTCCAAATTTAGTTTTCTCAAATAATGAAAAAATTTTCTTCTTTTCTGTGGAACATTAGCTCCATTAATATTCCAAGTTAAATATTTGTAATCCATAGTTAAGGAAATAGTTTCTCGAAGTCTTTAGCTGTAGCACCCATCTCCATGGCCTGTGTTCCACTTTCTTCTTCTAACTGTTGCTGTCTCTGTGTGTCCATCTCAGTTGGTTCCTGATGTAAATCTGGTCCATATCTTGCCAAAACATGTTGGCTTTTTGTACCAAATTTAATCTAAATCTTTGTTGCTGAAAAGTAAATATCACACCCTCCAATTTATCTCAGCGAAATGGAATCTTTTTCTTTTTTAAAACTTCTGTCAAAAAAGTATATTCCTTTCTCTTTCTCAAAATCCTAATAGGAATTTCTTTTAATACAATTATATCTGTGTTACCAATTTTTAATTGTGAATCAAAGTGACTTTGTAATACTTGTTCTCTTGTTCTTCTCCTCAAAAAATAGACCATGACATCTCTGGGAAGTTTTCTAACAGTTTCAAAATGTGAATTTATACGATATACTTTATCCACCATCCTGTCTTCTTCCCAACTTAATAAATTAGACAAGTCATTCAAGGCTACCTGTTGAATATTCTTCTGAGGAATTTCTGGAATGGTTCTTAATCTTAGGCAGAATTCATTTTCTCTAAGTTCAAGTAGAGCAAAGTTGTCTAGCCTTCTTTCCATTTCTGTATCCTTAGCATCCATTCTGTTTTCCAGGGCCTCTCCTTTATCATTTGTTTATTTTACATCAGCAGCAATCTGTTCCATTTTTTAATCCAATTTTTGTTCTATCATTTCAAATTTAGCTTCTATAGCTTGTGTGACCTTGAGAAGTCAAACATCTGTTTCAAGAAATCAAAATCACCAGAACCCCTGCCGTACAGCCTCTTTGATGCCATCTTTTAAATGTCAGCAAAAAAATAGGAAGAAAACAATCAGCCAGAAAATTTTTCAGTGACCAATTAGTTAGACAACAGTACACTCTAGTGGCCAAAGTTGCAGCTTGGTTTTTCCCCAATAGATAAATTATGAAGGAGCTTCATTGTAAATTCTGGAAAGTTTTCAATTACCTTGTTTACAAATCCATCCCAATCAGCACAAAATAGATTTTAAAAAAAGACAACTTTCCCACAGAGATTCACAATCCAGAATTTAATAAAACATATGCAGATTCACCAAACATTAAAAAAATTCCCTTGTTTCTTTAAAGTTCAGTGGTAATCCAAACTTTCAATACTTTTACGTACTGAATAAATCCCAACATCCAGTTCAATAAAAATCAATAGTTTCATGAGATACCTCTATTTGCCAAAAGGAAATAGTCCACTGCAGCCAAAGGAGGCCTCTCTTTTACTAAAATTAATAAACTGAAAGCAATGAAGAAATGGGAAGGTCAGATTTAGAGTCCGGTTTCCCTCCCAACTACTCACTTACCAGTCAACCACAAAAGCCTTCATTTCGTGATCTCCTTGCCAGGAACAGCCGTCCGGAGGACATGTGGGTCAATTTCTAGGATTCTCCTTAGTTCCAGAGAATTCTTCAGGCTCAAGGGTTCCTGCCTGAGCCCCAGTCCGCTGCGTCAACAGTCCCCATTTCTTTTTCTTTTTTTTAATATTTTTTTATTTTTACAACAAACACAAAACATACATGAACAAACAAAACCATAAAAAGGCATTAAAAAAAAGCATCTTCCATTTTATAGCGTGTGTCAACCAGTTGCCAACTCATTGGTGCCCCTT